CCACACTATTCCTGATACAAGCCAGGATGCCATTGGCCTTCTTGGCCACCTGGGCACACTGCTGGCTCTTATTCAGCCAGCTGTCAACCAGTACCCCCAGGGTCTTTTTCCACCATGCAGCTTTCCAGCCACTCTTCCCCAAGCCTGTAGCGTTGCATGGGGTTGATGCAGGACCCGGCACTTGGCCTTGTTGAACCTCATACAGTTGGCCTCCGCCCAGCCTGTCCAGGTCCCTCTGCAGAGCCTTCCTCCCCTCGAGCAGGTCAACACTCCCACCCAATGTGGTGTCATCTGCAGAGACAGGACACGATGCAGACGTTCCTCTGTTGAGAGCCTGACTTCGTCGGTCCAGGGTAACCTTTCTACTGAGACACCAGTTTTCTCAGAGGATGGCATCCACAGTGCTCCAAGCACAAAAGGGTTAGTGGTGTCCCCACTTTCAATAAGGGATAGTTCCAGCTCTCTCACATCTTAATTTTTATGGATCCTGGTTACAGTTTAACTGATACATTTGACAGATGATCTGAACCATCCAGTCAAACAGATGTGTCTAGCATAACCTAGTTAGACCAGACACAGTACTGCAAAGCCTCGCTTACTGCTTGTCACAGCCTACTTCCTGTTTTCAAAATCTTGCTTGTTATTAAATGTGCTGCTGAATTACCTTCCAGCTATGCTTACATGTGACAAGTATGTAACTATTTTATGATATGAGCCACAAGCTACTCAGCACTGAGCAAAATGACCTCTCACGAGGCAAGCTCGAACCAAGACATCTGGGCCATGAAGATGATCCAAGGGCTGGAGCACCTCTCCTGTGAGGACAGGCTGAGAGAGTTGGGCTTGTTCAGCCTGGAGAAGAGAAGGCTGCAGGGAGACCTGATTGCGGCCTTTCAGTACCTAAAGGGGGCCTACAGGAAAGATGGGGAAAATCTCTTTAGCAGGGGCTGTTGCGATTGGACAAGAGGTGATGGCTTTGAACTGAAAGAGGGCAGATTCAGACCAGCTATAAGGAAGACATTTTTAACAATGAGAGTGGTAAGCCAGAGATTTGTCAGATTGTCACGGATGGAGTGAGAGGGAGGCAAAAAATATCATTTATTGATGTAAGACAGTGAGTTAACAAAGTTCAGTGGTAAATGCGACAGTGGTTTAACAAGATTTGATGGCAAGGTACACTTGGTTATTTACTGCCTAGAGGACAGGGTCAGACAAAAGTGTCAGGGAGACCCTCCCGTTGAGTCATGAGGTTCAGAAAGGACCCCCTTGCTTTCTCAACTCCTTCCTCAGAGAGGAGTCCAGGTGCGGCTGGATCCAGTCCCAGTCCCAGACTTGGTCAACAGTTTATGTCTAAAGAATTACATATGCGCAACCAATCCTTTATATCACTTAGCTAAGGTTTCAGAGTGTAGCATGCTGTTAGTCACTTACCCAGGACCTGTTGCAGCAAGGAATCTCTCAGCCTCGAGGAGTAACCCTGAGGGGCGCCCCTGCTCAAGGGGAGATCCCGGCCTGCAGCCCGCTGCCGTGCAGGAGAGCTCAGAGGGCTCTTGGGCTGCTTCGCTATTGATGGGGGTCAGGTGAGTGGCTCACAGTCATATCTGGGTACCACCCACAGATTTGGGGGGCCTACCTGTGCTTAGGTGGGCACATTGCACAATAGCCCTTGGCTATTGTATTGTTAACTGTCTCCCCAAAATCCACTTTGAGCTGGATGCATCCATCACGCCCAGACACATCTATCACAACTGTCACAGGTGGTTACCACCTGAGCAGGGTTATGGGAAGAGGTTGGGGGGGGAGGGAGGGAGTGGCAGGAAGGAGCACACTGCCATACAGATGCCCCATCCCTGGAAACATTCAAGGTCAGGTTGGACAATCTGAACAACCTGATCTAGTTGAAGATGTCCCTGCTCATTGCAGGGGAGTTGGACTAGATGACCTCTAGGGGTCCTTTCCAACCCAAACCATTCTATGATTCTGTGACTTAAAAGGCACTTAGTAACCTCATTTCTGCTTAACCACACTCTTAATGCAGCCACCACGTGCATTACATGGAGCTTATTCACAATTTGCTGCCCAGCTGGCAGCCATTTAAGATTCCAGAGCTAAAGCAGCATGCTTTTTCACATTTTGTGTATTCATTAGGCCAGAATGCACAAGTCGCACTTGGCATAGGTTGGTATGACCGCAAGTGATGAAATGCCCACAGAACCCACGCTGCCACAGATCGGAGAGATACCAGGCGGCAAATCTCACATATTGGCAGGGAGTTGCCTTCTGCAATCGCACGCGCTGGACGACATGCACGCCCTCTCTCCACATACTCGTGCATTTGTCTTTTTCCTCTTTTTCCCTCGACACCTACATCATTTACCGCCTCCTCCGGGGCTTAAGCACGAGGCCACAGCCCCACGGGCACGGCGCG